CTCCTGGCCTTACTACTAGGAGCAAGAAGCTACTAGTAGCTCCTGGCATTACTACTAGGAGCAAGAAGCTACTAGTAGCTCCTGGCCTTACTACTAGGAGCAAGAAGCTACTAGGAGCTCCTGGCCTTACTACTAGTAACAAGAAGCTACTAGTAGCTCCTGGCCTTACTACTAGGAGCAAGAAGCTACTAGTACCTCCTGGGCTTACTACTAGGAGCAAGAAGCTACTAGTACCTCCTGGGCTTACTACTAGGAGCAAGAAGCTACTAGTAGCTCCTGGCCTTACTACTAGGAGCAAGCAGCTACTAGTAGCTCCTGGCCTTACTACTAGGAGCAAGAAGCTACTAGTAGCTCCTGGCATTACTACTAGGAGCAAGAAGCTACTAGTAGCTCCTGGCCTTACTACTAGGAGCAAGAAGCTATTAGTAGCTCCTGGCCTTACTAGTAGGAGCAAGAAGCTACTAGTAGCTCCTGGGCCTACTACTAGGAGCAAGAAGCTACTAGTAGCTCCTGGCATTGCTACTAGGAGCAAGAAGCTACTAGTAGCTCCTGGCCTTACTACTAGGAGCAAGAAGCTACTAGTAGCTCCTGGCCTTACTACTAGGAGCACGAAACTACTAGTAGCTCCTGGCCTTACTACTAGGAGCACGAAACTACTAGTAGCTCTTGGCGTTACGACTAGGAGCAAGAAGCTACTAGTAGCTCCTGGCCTTACTACTGGGAGCAAGAAGCTACTATTACCTCCTGGGCTTAGTACTAGGAGCACAAAGCTACTAGTAGCTCCTGGCCTTGGCACTAGGAGCAAGATGCTACTAGTACCTCCTCGCCTTACTACCAGGAGCAAGCTACTAGTAGCTCCTGGCCTTACTATTAGTACGAGGAAGAAGCTACTAGTAGCTCCTGGCCTTACTACTAGTAGGAGCAAGAAGCTACTAGTAGCTCCTGGCCTTACTAGGAGCAAGAAGCTACTAGTACCTCCTGGCCTTACTACCAGGAGCAAGAAGCTCCTAGTAGCTCCTGGCCTTACTACTAGGAGCAAGAACCTACTAGTAGCTCCTGGGCTTACTAGTAGGAGCAAGAAGCTACTAGTAGCTCCTGGCTTTACTGCTAGGAGCAAAAGCTACTAGTAGTTCCTGGCCTTACGACTGGGAGCAAGAAGCTACTAGTAGCTCCTGGGCTTACTACTAGAAGCAAGAAGCTACTAGTAGCTCCTGGCCTTGCTACTAGGAGCAAGAAGCTACTAGTAGCTCCTGGCCATACTACTAGGAGCAAGAAGCTACTAGTAGCTCCGGGCCTACTAGTAGCTTGTGCCTTACTCCTAGGAGCAAAAAGCTAGCAGTAGCTCCTAGCCTTACTGCTAGGAGCAAGAAGCTACTAGCAGCCCCTGCATACTACTAGGAGCAAGAAGCTACTAGTAGCTACTGGCCTTACTTCTAGTAGGACGCTAGTAGCTCCTGGCCTTACTTCTAGGAGCCAGAAGCTACTAGTAGCTCTTGGCCTTACTAGCAGCAAGAAGCTACTAGTAGCTCCTGGTGTTACTACTAGGAGCAAGAAGCTACTAGTACCTCCTGGCCTTACTACCAGGAGCAAGAAGCTACTAGTAGCTCCTGGCCTTACTACTAGGAGCAAGAAGCTACTAGTAGCTCTTGGCCTTACGACTAGGAGCAAGAAGCTAGTAGTAGCTCCTGGCCTTACTACTAGGAGCAAGAAGCTACCAGTAGCTCCTCGCCTTACTACTACTAGGAGCAAGAAGCTACTAGCAGCTCCTGGCCTTAGTACTATAGGAGCAAGAAGCTACTGGTAGCTACTGGCCTTACACTACTGGTAGGAGCAAGAAGCTACTAGTAGCTCTTGGCCTTACTGGGGGCAAGAAGCTACTACCTTAGCACTAGGAGCAAGAAGCTACTAGTAGCTCCTGGTGTTACTACCAGGAGCAAGAAGCTAAAAGTATCACTTGGCCTTACTAGGAGCAAGAAGCTACTAGTAGCTTCTGACCTTAGCACTAGGAGCAAGAAGCTACTAGTACCTCCTGGCCTTACTACCAGGAGCAAGAAGC